GAAGCAAAGCCCAAACCACACCCACTGCTGTGGAGTTGATTCTGACCCACAGCGCCCCTAGAGGACAGAGTGGAACTGCCCACAGGGTCTCCCAGGCTGTCAGTCTTCCTGGAAGCTGACTGCCACATCTCTCTCCTGCAGAGCAGCGGATGGATTTGGACAGTTGATCTTGCACTTAGCAGCTGAGCCTTTCACCACTGGCCACCAGGGGTCCTTCAGGTTCACATTAAGCCCCTGACGTGCTCAGCACTTGAGGATTTCCGGCTCTGTTCTTGAAAAGACGGGGAATAAAAGGAAAAAGATTTCAAATCCACACATGTTCATGATCTGTGCCATCTCTGCCTTATTCTATACCTTTACGCTAACAACTACTATTTAAATGATCACTCCTGCCTGTATTTTCAGAACACGCTTAGTCCCTTGTAAAGGTCTCAAAGGTCCCAGGACACTGTCCCATGTCACACACCCCCATGTAACCATCAGGATTTGTTGACGAGTCTTTAAGCTGGTGAGCTCCTTGCACCCCCCACCACCACCCACCTTATCAGCAGGGCACTAGCTTGATGAAATTCCACCTGGAAACCTTTAACGGTGGACCGTGGTGGGGAGCGGGGCTCTCTCTACAATGCAATTATTGCCAAAAATGGCTGCTTGCAGTCAGAGCTAAATCGTAATCCCTGAATAAACCATGCCATTTTCTTGGGTAAGTTTTCTCCCCCACCTCTTACCTCTCTCTCTCTCTCTCTTTCTCTCTCTCCCTCCCTCTCTCCCTCTCTCTCTCCTTTCACAGATGGAAGCTTTCTGGAAACAGATGGAAAACATCCCACACTTTCTGGTAGACCAGTTTAAGTGCCCTAGCTCCAGAGCCCGGCAGCTCACGCTGACTGTGACAGAAAGAATGATCACTGCCGAGAGGTTACTCCAGGAGTCTCAGGATATGCAGGCATTGGTAAGTCGGGGACTGGGCAGGGACACGGGGATGTGGCAACGAGAAGTGTGGCATCCTGAGGCTGGTGGGTCTTAGGGCGATCAGCTGGCTGAACCTCTTCATATTGCAGGAAAAAAAATAGCTCATTCGTCCAGTGGGTAAGTAGAGATGGTATTGTGGCACCGACGGTTAACGTGCCCAGCTACTAGGGAAAGGTCGAGTGTGCGGGTCCATGCAGAGGTGCCTCAGAAGAAGGGCCTGGCAATCACCTGACAACTCAGCTATGAGAAGCCCGTGGAGCGCAGTTGTGCTCTGACATGTGGGGTCGCTGGGAGTCAGGGGCGACTTGCTGGGAGAGGCCCTGGTGGCAGACGCTCTGTGACTGCTTCTCCCCTGCCTGCACGTTGGATTTATCTGAGGAGACAAAAAAAAAATCACTGAGGTTGGGTCCCTGCTGGGTCTCCCCCCGGCACTGGGGGTTGTTCTGGTTCCCTAGTGCCGCTCTGACAGGAAATATACCACAAATGGGATGGCCTTAAAAAACAGGAGTTTATTCTTAAATTTGGAGGCTTTAAGTCCAAGTTCAAAGTGCCGGGCTCTAGGGGCTGGGTGAAAGCCCCTCAACCTTGGGGTCCAGCTCTGCCTCCTGCTCCCAGCCCACTGGAGCTAGAGGCATTTCTTCACTCAGACAGCTGCTGGCTGCTGAGGCTGAGAAGCCCCAAGGTTGACAAGTA